GCAGGACGAGGCTACACCCCGGGCTGCCGGGCGCCCGGGGCGGGAAGGTCGCTACGCCGCGGAGCCCACGCGCGGTGTCACACGCACTCACGGTGGCACACACCGGGTGAGGTCCATGCCCAAAGAAATGCACACACGCGAACCTGGGGAGACCCAAGCACGGGGACCCCAAGGCACGCGCATTGCTCCACTGCGTCCAACGGCACCTGAGAGACACCCAGATGGAGACCCGGGCGCTCACCTGCGGACCGCCCCTCCGCTTGCCCGCATGGACAGGCCAACAAGGAGACCTACACCAGCTGGGGGTCTCCAAGGGAACGCCACGCCCCCCCGTAGGGACCAGGCTGGGGGAGAGGGGTGATGGAGCCCTTGGCGTTTCTGATTTCTATCCTGGGAGCCCAGGCCTCGAATTGGGGGCCTAATTGCATTGCCTTTGTGGCTGGGGGTGGGGCCTCAAGGCAGCTATGGGGTTGGGAAAGACGCCTTGCCCAAGAAGCAAGAGGGGGCCAGCACTATTCCAGGGAGGCAGGTGCTATTCTGGGATGGTGCCCTCCCCCTGCTGCCACCTTCCTAACTAAGGGGTGGGGTCTCCGGGCCAGACAAAGACAAAGCCTTTCATTTGTTTGCGAGAGAGAACGCTGGGTCCTTGCTGGGCTCGGGGTGCTGCTTCTGCAGGGGGTTTGTTTATGGCTGAAGCAGGTGGGCAGTGCCTCTTTCTGGAGCTTCCAGGGGGCAGGTGGGTTCAGGGGCCCTAAAGAGGCAGACTTTTTTTGTGCCTGACTCCCTTGAGGAGCCCTCTTCTCTCCCCATGTTTGGGGGAGGTTGGAGATCTTTCCAGGTCTAGCATAGTTGAACCCCAGATGGGTGACCTGCACAGCAGCCATGTGCTGGCCGGAGGAGGGAGAGGAGGGTTCTGAAATAACACCTGCCCAGCTGTGGGGCTTCCATCCATCACTCATATTGGTTCATCCATTCCTTCATTGCTGGGGGTCACCTGTAGTGTGCTAGGCACATTGGGGACCCCCTCATTGCCAGTGAGTTGATTCTGACTCTGAGGGACTTTGCAGATCTGTGTAGAACTGCCCCCATGGGGTTTATGGACGTAGATCCCCAGCCCTTTCTACGAGACATGGTTGCTGCCCTCTACAGAGGCAGGAACTAGCAGGCATCCATTGCCTGCCACGGGCCAGGTGCTTCACACCCAGGGCTTTGTGCAACCTTCCCAGCATCCCTGACCAGTAGGCACTGCCCTCATTTTTCCTGAGGAGACTATGGAGACTTGCAGTACTCAGTTGCCCCTCTGAGGTTGGCATGGTGTGACCTGGGCCCCAGGGGTGTCTGCATAGGGAGCTATGGGGGCAGAGGACATAGCTACAGAAGCCACTTCTGTTTGCCGGGCACCCTCACCAGACTCTGGGCCCTCACGGGTCAGGTTACCCAGGACTCGTGCTTCCTGACTGGTAGTGACCAATTTCATGTTGTCCACTATGTCCGAGCGTCTGCTTCTAGGGCCCCACAGCTCCATCCTATAGAACCCAAGCCTCTTTTCACACTGGCCACCCCTGCCTATCAGGGGCAGAGGACCCAGTCAGCCGGCTAAGTACAGGCTTGCTTGTGCTTACTTATTCCCATCTATAGGGAACAATGTCATGTGATGAAACCCTTGGGAAACTGTCCACTATAGGTGAGGAAGTAAGCAGAGAAAAGCCCCTGCTTGCTTTGCTCAGTGGGCACTCTGCCCCTGGGTGTGAAACCAGGACGACCCTTGGCAGTTAGCCTGGGATGTGATTGGAACAGGCCCCACATGATCGCATTTGACGAGGCCTGCCTGGGGCGGAGTACTCGACTGACTGACTGCAGAGTTCCAGAGACTCCCAGGGGCTGCCGTGGTGTGGGAGGGGGCAGTAGTACTCAGGCGGGAGTTGAAGGTTGGCCAGGGGCTGGTAGGGAGGGGTCCCTCCAGAAGGTTAGCCCATTCGCAAAGGCCCTGCACAGTGAGTGGGCACACTGGCCGACATATTGCTAACATGTCTGCCGTGTGACTGGCGTGTGGCTGATGTGTGATTGGGAGGGGGCTGACTTGCCAGCAGGTGCTTGGCTCAGCGCACACAGTATTATCCAGAGGCTTGCTGAAAGGGCACAAGTGGCATCTGCCCCCCATAGTGGACCTGGTGCAGGCCTGCAGAGCCCTTAGAAGTTTCTGGAACCTGGTAGGCTCCTTTGCCTCTCTCATCCAGGCTCTGTCTTTTGGGAGTACTGAGTGAACTGTCACCCTTCGTGAGCACAAAAAAATAATCCCATATATAGACATCAGACTCCTACTACTCCTACTACTCACTGGCAAAATGGGCCTGGGAGGCTGCCCCCTGCCCGCCAACTGCCCCCGCCCCCACCAGATAGCTCGCTTTCACAGCACAGGCTGTGGAGCCCCCGTGGGACTCAGCTGTGAAGGCATCGGTGAGCCCACCGTGACCAGCTGCTGTGTGCAGCTGGACAGGGAAATTGGGGCCTCTACTCCCGGGATGCAGGTGTGCTGGCGGGGCTTGTGAGCCACGCGTGCAGGGAGGACAGGAGCAGGGCCAGGGCTACTGAGAGTCAGCTGCCAGGAGCTGCCCACTGGGAAGCCAGGGAGAGTCATGCTCAACCCTGGGGAGGCCCTGAGGCCCTGCCAGTGCTCCCTGTGCCTGGGAGTGACCGAGGAAAGAGCAGGCAGGTCTTGCCAGCCCTGGTGGGAGGAGCAGGTGGTGGGTACAGGAGTGGACACCTGGCAGGAGGTTGGGGCTTGGGGCTGGGGAGAGAGGCACCCCTGCTGGCCTCCCTCCTGCCCATCTGCTGCAGGCTGAGACTGAGGGCGGAAATCACGCACCAGAGGACACATTCTGGAATGACAGCCCTGGGAGCGGGGCTGGGGCCCAGCAAACTTGTGTCATTGACATCCGGGGCACTTCCCTTTTGCAAGTGCAGGCATGTGTATGGCTGTCTTCCTGGCATGGGGCCGGTGGGGGAGGGCTGGCTGGGAACAGGAAAGGGGCAGACTCCAGGCTCCCCCTTTTCCCCCCACCCCGGAACCGTGTGCAAGCCCACAAAGCTGACAAGGAGCAGAGCAAGGCTCTTGGCATTTTTGTCCCCCACCCCATTTTGTGGGAGGAGGGAGTAGCTCTCTCCTGTCACCTACCCTGGGGGACAGTGACCTCGCCTACAGATTTCTCTTGTGTGTGAACATGACCTTACCCCTGCTCTGCTGGGCTGGGTGGGAGGGGGGTTATACGTCTCTTCCCTTATCTTCTGCCACCCCACCCTCTACAGCACACTGTCATCTTAGGCGAGTGACTGCCCCCATCCATCGGGGTCTGGTCCCCTCCCCTTGGTCAAAAGGAGAGTGTTCCTCCCAGAGATTTCCAGAACTCCAGTTGGGAATGGGTCGGGAGATCCTGGCTCTGGTGAGACTAGGAGACACAGAGGCCGGGAGAGCTGGTCCCCCCAGCAGGGGACACATAGTGCCTCTCAGATCCAAAGCAATGATGTCCACTCACAGCCAGTCAACTTGTCTGACACAGGATCCTTCCCAGGGTCTATCAGGACACAGGTCCAGATAGCCCCACACATCTCTGAGGTTCTCAGCTAGGAGCTCATGCTGCCCTCTGGGGAACAAATTTGGCTGCACAACTGGGGCCTGCTATGACACCAGATGGAGGCCAGAGGTGCTGCTGAGGGCCCTCCTTTGGCCAGGACAGCCCCTCACTGCCCCTAAGTCTCTGGCCCAAAGGCTAGTAGGGCCGTGATGATGGAGCCCTGGGTTAAACACAGGCCAGCGGGGCCCTCGAACGATGATGCCCCAGCAGCGGGAGACTCTGGAGACTGGTCCCGGTCTCTTCATCTGCGAGTTTGGGGCCCTGGACTGGATGATCCCTGGGGCCCTTTCATGTCCATCATCACAGTGACCCTGCCCCCTCCCACCTTGCCTTGGCAGGGTTCCCAGAGGCAGGGACCGACGCAGCCATGTCAGAGCTGGTGCCTGAGCCCAGGCCTAAGCCGGCAGTGCCCATGAAGCCCGTCAGCATCAACTCCAACCTGCTGGGCTACATCGGCATCGACACCATCATCGAGCAGATGCGCAAGAAGACCATGAAGACGGGCTTTGACTTCAACATCATGGTTGTCGGTATGGAAGGCAGTGCGTGTGTGTGTGTGTGTGTGTGTGTGTGTGTGTGTGTGTGTGTGTTCGCGCGCATGCGTGGGTGCAGGGTTTGGGGGTGGATAGGAGGTGGGGGGTTGTCTCTGGTGGCGTGGAGGATCCTATTTTCTTCCTCAGAATGGCCTCAGACCTGGCTTTTCAAGGCTGACCACTCAGGTCTGACCGGGGTGGGGGGATGGGGGTAGGCTGTTGCAGTCTCTCCGTGTTGCTCACAGCCGTGCCACAGGGGGGCCACTTTGGAAGGCGCACACTCGTTGCCCTGAAGTTTAGGAGGTTGGACGTTTGAAGGCAGGGCACCCCCTCTAGAGGAGGGCTCCCGCTCTTCTCAGCTTGTGAGGAAGCCCCTCCACGCTGCCGAGTCCTCGGGTCTGCCTTCTCCCATCCAGGCTCTCTGCTTCCTGGGCCTGTGTCGCTTCTCACCCTCGGAGCCAGTTTTCAGACACGTCCCACACGGAGCTAGCTCCACGAAGCCCACGAAGAAAACCCTGCTTCCAAATCAGGTTCTCGTTCATTGCCGACAAGTCGATGTGGATTCGTAGCAACCCTGTAGGACAGACAGGGGAGAATTGCCCCTGTGCGTTTCTGAGACTGCAACTCTTGACAGGAGTAGACAGCACCATCTTTCTCCCGAGGAGCGGCTGGTGGTTTTGAACTGCTAACCTTGCGGATGGCAGCCCAACGCGTCCCCACTGTGCAACGGGGCTGCTCAAATAGGGTTATGCCCACAACATACAGGGGTTAAGAGCCTCGCGCATATTTTGGAGGGACATAACCTACTTCTTCCCCAGAGCTACCTGTTGCAGGAGGGGAGCTTTGGCCAGCTCTCAGCTCTTTCCAGCTGCATGAGAGATAGGCAGCCTCTTTTTTTTTTTGGTAACTTCAACAGTTGAATTGACGTCGCTCATACAACTCAGTGGTTGGTTGGTTGCTGTTGTTGGTATTAGGTACCATTGAATCCGTTCCCACCCATAGCCACCCAGGGGCACCAGTTCTTAACTTCTGGGAACGTTTCTGTTTCCAGTCTGGCCCAGTGCCACTGATCCAACTTGGTCCATAGCGCTTCCAATGCAGCGTGCTACTCTGTGGTCCTCAGGGATGGTTCTCCTGCTGAGCCACCTCTTTCCTACCTAAGCCTGGTCCCCTCCAAGTCATTCCTTGGGTGGCAGCTTAGTTGTCACGTCTCCCTTAGTCCAAACTGGATTAGATCCCTTTCTCTAGTTGCTTGAGATGCCCGGGGTCTCTCCTTCCTAGTGGCTAATTGCAACATGTTGTGAGTACTTGCTTAGGTCTTGGCCTCGTTCACATGACAGGGCTCCCGGAGGGGACGGATGGGCGTTCACCACCTCTCTGGCTCTCGCCCGGCACATACGCAGTAAATGGATGACCTCAGAAAACACCCAGATCTAGAATGGCAAATACGGGACACCTGCATCTCTCCTGATCGCCACGGTGCCCATGGCAGGGACTGCTGACCAGCCATGGCCTGTGCTCAGTACGGCCCTGAGAGAGCCCAGAATCTTTCCAATTCATCAGTAAGAAAGACAAATGCACTGGTCTCTGGTCACCCCCCTCCCCGCCATCCAATCGGCACTGAAACTATGGCGGCAAGGAGCACACGGAGGAAGTCCAAAGGCGCCAGGGGACTGTCACGATGAGACCTAGACCCACAGGCTCTAGCTGCCCAGTGTGATCCTCTTTCTATTAACACAGGCATTTCCTGGGTACCAGTGAGATACGATACTATCCGTATCTTTAAAAATGTGTAGGTCTGTCCGAACCGTTGTAGACGGTTCGTACTTAGCTTTACTACTTTAGTGCAAGGGGACCAGAGGGCAATGGTGGGTCATTGGGCTGCTAACCTCAAGGTCAGCAGTTTGAAACCACCAGCCGCTCCGTGGGAGAAAGATGGGACTTTCTGCTCCTGTCAAGAGTTACAGCCTCGGAAACTCACAAGGATGATTCTACTTGGTCCTTGAGACTTGCTGTGAGTTGGCATCGACTGATGGCAGTGAGTTTGATTTGTTGGTTTCTTGGATTTTAGTGCAAGAAAAGGTGCCGAGTCTTGACAATGGTTTGCAAGCTGCCCGGGCAGCGAGGGAAGGTGATTGCGGTGCAGACTTGTTGTGAGTTGGGGTTGGTGCCGACATTTCAAAGTGAAGACAAAATTCCATCATTTTCCGAGGGTGAGCAGGAGCTGTCTGTAGGAACCCTGGAGCGTGGTGGGTGCCCCCTTGGGCTGCCGAGTATGAGGTCAGCAGTTAGAAACCATCAGCTGCCTCGAGGGAGAAAGACGGGCTCTCTACTCCCGTACAGAGCTACAGTCTCGGAAGCTCACAGGGGCAGTGAGTTCTCTGCCCGAGAGGGTCGCTCTGAGTTGGCACCGACTTGACGGCAGTGCGTTTGGTTTGGGGTTTTGGAAGAACCGTCTGTAAGTTGGACATTCATAACGTGGAGGACGGCCCGTGGTACAAGCCTGCTGGAGACCAGCCTGTCTTAAACCATTTCCTCTACGTGATTTGTGTGGAAGTCTTCTGAAAGTGTATATTCAGGTTGGAGGTCTGGGGTGGGGGTGCGCAGGTGATGCCAGTAGCCAGGCCACTGTGGGTGACCCCGTGCATGGTGCAGGGCTAGTCGCATTGCTCAGACCAACGGTCTTCACCCTTCTTAGCTGGAGGGTGCCTCCTTGAAACGAGATTTTTTGCAGAAGGGAGTGTGTGGAACGGGTAGAAAAGGAGTCATAGAACGAGGTGTGTGGCCTGTCCTGTCCAACCTCCCCCTCCTCTCACAGCACCTCCCAGGACACTGAGGGTTCTGAAAACTCAATGCCAAAACCGCTGCACCAGATCAATGCAGGGCTGCCTCTTCCCCAGTGATAAATGCAGCCCAGGGTTTGGGGCCCTTGGGACTGGGGCCTCTAGGAAGGAGAGAAGATGGAATTGAGTTGACATTTCCCCAAGGACTTCTTTGGTAAGCAGAAAGCTGGTTCTGTCTGCACGCTCTCCCCACTCAGCACACGAAAACCAGAATGCAGGCCTTTCCTCTGCCAGCAGCCTGGACCCCAGCTCAAATCACTTCAGCCCTGGCATCCTGGGAGCTCCTGAGAGAGGGTCAGGCTCCGGAGTGGATGCAGCTCTGTCTAGCTCCTCCTCCTGCCTCGCTACAGGTCAGAGCGGACTAGGCAAGTCAACGCTAGTCAACACACTCTTCAAATCCCAAGTGAGCCGCAAGTCTGCCAGCTGGAACCGAGAGGAGAAGATTCCCAAGACGGTGGAGATCAAAGCTATTGGGCATGGTGAGGAGGAGGCCAGGAGCCCCGAGGGCTTGGGGAGTACCTTCCAGAAAGGGGAAAGAGTGGGGCTCATGGGGGCTGGAGACAGATGACTGATGGAAGGAAGCACTGATCTCTGCAGAGCTAGCTCAGACACGGGCGGGAGCGGGAATGGGGAGCCCTGGAGCTTGAGCTGGGGTTGCCATGGAGACAGGCCGAAAGAACGAGGGAGCATATGCCAGGCTTAGGGACCAGCATGGGGGCAAAGGTATTGGAGTGCACAATGCCCTGAACTTGACCTTTCCAATAACTGGTCCTTAAGAAAAGCAGGGGGTCTAAGTTGCCTTAGAAGAGCAGGGGTCTGGGCAGTATGCTGCATGGGGCATCTGGGATCAGCTCGAGGGCTGACCTTTTTTTTGGGGGGGTGTCCTTTTCTGTTCAACCACCCTCAGTAATCGAGGAAGGCGGGGTCAAGATGAAGCTGACGGTCATTGACACCCCAGGCTTTGGGGACCAGATCAACAATGAAAACTGGTATGTGTCTGCCTCACACCTTGCTGCTCTACAGACTCAGCTAGCAAGATGGAGAACCATCTGCGCCCCTCCGTGCTGTGGTGGGGGGGGGCGTAGTCAGGGGGGCTTACAGAAGGGTGGGGGAGTGAGTGTGGAAAGAGGCAGGGGGAGAGCCCAGATGGAGGCCGGTGTGTGTGTGGGCGGCCCTCCCAGAGGGAATGTCAGCTGAGGCTTGCCAGGAGGTGGAAGTGGCCCGGTCGTCGTGGGTAGCAGAGCAGACAGACAGACACAACTAGGGAACTGAGCTGCCAATCCAGACTGGCCCGATGGTTGCGGCAGAGAGCCCGACCTGGGGACCAGCCCTGGAGGAAGAATGGATGCCACAGGACAGAGGTGATGCCACTAGGGCGTGGGGGTGGGGTGAGAGGAGATGCCTTAGGAGTGCATGGCAGAGCTCAAGTTGGCATCAGCCCAACCACGTACACAGGGGCTGAAGCAAGCAACGGTGTATTAGATGGAAGGTTCTAGCAAACAGAGACGGGACTGCGGCGTCCATCTCTGTGAGGGAGCAGGAGCCTGCCGCTGACAGGCTCGTCCAGCTCTGCCGGCTGCATTGACCTCCGAGGAGCGCCTCGCTGTCCTCTCCTCTGGCTGTAAGCTGGCTCCTCGATAGAGAAAGGTCGTAGCAACACTAAGAGCGATCCGTCACCAGGCCCGAGTGCTTTCAATGAGCCACTGCCAAGTACGACTCGTGGGTTCTTTCTAAGGCCTCCAGGAACGCCGCCAGGCGACTCCTGCGGCTCCCAGTGTACTTGGTGAGGAGGGGGCGAGGCAGCGGCCTCTCCAGAGCCTCTAAGCTTTGCAGAGTGGCGTAGGGGCTACGCAGGTCCTGACCACCCACACTAGGGCCAGGAAGGTGGTGGTGGGGGCGCTGTGGAGGACTCAGCCAGCAGGTGCACCTGACGAGGTGTGGTGTGTATTCCCCACCCAGTGTGAGAGGGAGGAAGCCAGGTGGGTGGAAGGGGGTGGCTTGGGGCGAACTTCAAGGGAGGCCCCCCGTGGCCCCGTCTGCTTTGGTCCCGTCTTCAGCTGGGAGCCCATTGAGAAGTACATCAACGAGCAGTACGAGAAGTTCCTGAAGGAGGAGGTGAACATCGCCCGGAAGAAACGCATCCCAGACACCCGCGTCCACTGCTGCCTCTACTTCATCTCCCCGACCGGACACTCGTGCGTAGCCCCCACCGCATCCCTGGGGTTGGGCTTGCCTCTGGTTTGCAACCTCTGGGCCTTTGGTTCAGCTGGGGAGAGATACGGTCTTGGCACCATCACCTTAGGATTCCTCGGAGTCCCTGTGTGTCAGGAGGGAGAAGTGGACCAGCCCCAACCACTGCCCCGCTCATGGGGGTCAGAGCATGACAGGGCAGCTAAGAGAAGTCAGCGTGGGTGAGCACAGGCCGCCTACTCACTCAGCAAAGAACTACTTTGTACAAGCGCGGTGGGCAGCAAGGAGGCTTCGAATTTGGGGGGTGGGGGGTGGGACTCGATAGGAGCCAGGGGAGGGTGTGTGTGTGGTATGTGCGTGAGGGGCATGGACCCAGCTGCGGGCATTGGGACAGGGACCCGCTCAGCCCTAGTGATGGGCATGGGCAGCAGAGACCCGTGGGGGCTCTGGTGTGAGCAGCAGGTGCGGTGGCCTGGGCAGGATGCTGAGAACAGGTAGGCAAGAGCCCACGTGGGTGGAGGACCTCCCAGCCTCCCACCCTGGCTGGGCCAGGTGCAGTCTTTGAGAAGAAGGCACAAGCAAGACAGACCCCTAACCTGAGCGGCATCAGAACATGCCGTGGGTGCTCAGGAACGACGGAGTGAAGCGCAGAGGCCTGAAACAAGCGCCAGGCCAGGCCCAGGGACTCGGGAGAGTCTGGTCCTTGGAAGCTGGTCCCCAGGCAGGCGACTGGGATGAATGAGTCCCCTGGGCTGCTAATGAGAGGCCGATGGGTGCCCATAGCACAGGGGAGCTAAACTCTCCACCAGGGGAGAGGGGATTAGGACCCCGTTGGGCCCCTATGGGACACACTGGTGGTGGGGGTGGGGTGGGGGGTGCTGCGAGCAGCTCATCAGGAAGTGTTGTCCAGTAGGCAGATTAGGACGCCCACCCGAGGGTCTTTGCTTCAAGGGAAGAGCTCAACAGTGGGCTCCGAGGACACAGATGCCTTCAGGAGAATGAAATCCCTCGGTCCAGGTGATGAGAAAAGATGTCTGAAGGAGCAGTCTGAGTGGGGCTTAAAGGCCTGGGGGCTTGGGGGAGCAACAAGGAAGAGAGAGAGAGCAGACGGGACCACCGGGGGATGGGAGGGCCCAGAGCCGGGCGAGCAGTTGGGCTGAGCCCGTGGGAGGGCTGGCAACTTCTTGGCCTCAGCTAGACTCCTAGCCCAGTGCTTCCTTCCGTCCCAAGAGTGCCCCTGGCGCGGCGCGGCAGGGGCTGACCAGTGCGGGTCTCCTCTGTGGGGCAAAGCGGTTCTGACTTCCCGCCTCCCCTGGGCCCCAGTCTGCGCCCCCTGGATCTGGAATTCATGAGACACCTCAGCAAAGTGGTGAACATCATCCCTGTCATTGCGAAGGCCGACACCATGACCCTGGAGGAGAAGTCGGAATTCAAGCAAAGGGTGAGACGGTCCCCCACCTGCTTCCCCTTGTCCCTCCCTCTGGGCCCGTGCCCTGGACCCTCAGGACTCTTCCTCGTCCCCACCCGCATCCCTCCTGGACTGCACACCCCCTTGAAGTCCCTCATTAACCGTTCGAAGCTGGGGCTGGTGGTGGGGACCAACGGCAAAGAAACGTTGGTGCAGCTCCAGGCTCCTCCACTTTTTTTTCTTTGCCATCCTCTCTACTTCCCTGCCAAGAAAACCAAACCAAACCAGAAATCCCATGAGCAGGAGGAATCATCTCTCACATGTTAGATTGCTTGACGGACTAGACTAATTTGTTAGTTGGCTGCCTGCTCATCCGAACTGATCTTCCCTGCTGGGTTAGGCCCCTGCTGGAAGTACAGGGGTGGGAGAGGCAAGCGCAGTCTAGGATAGCTAGCTGGTGTGCCTTCCAGAAAGTCCCAATCCAGCAGATTGTTGCCGGAAGACTTCCTGGAGAAGGTGACATCTAAATGTGGCCTTGAAAGAGGACAGTGCTGCTTGGAGGTGCTCAGTTCTCTTTGCTGTCAACTGGGAAACGGGAGGAGTCACAGGATGTGCGGAGACCGGGAATGAAAAAATCATGGGATTTTCCCAGGAACCGTTTGAAATTCCTGGTCCAGCACACCTGAACTGGGCCCTGGACTGGGAATTGCTGAAATGAGCAGCTGAGTTATTCGGATCTAAAGCTGACACCTCACCCCCTCCCCCGCCCCTCCCCGGGACACTTCCTGGGTGGTGGTAACCAGTTGCCTGGGGCTCCCCTGCTACAGGGTCTTCCTGCTTCCCAGGGCTCCTGAGAGCGCTGAGATGACGGTGGCAGGATGGCAAAGGCCGGCTTAGAATGCTCACACACCCCTCTTCCATGCTTCTGACACCTGGCTGCCTTGCTCCCCTCCCCTCCTCCTCTAGGTCCGCAAGGAGCTGGAAGTAAACGGCATTGAATTCTACCCCCAGAAGGAATTTGATGAGGACTTGGAGGACAAGACAGAGAATGACAAAATCAGGGTGGGTCCTGGGACGCTGCTCTGCTGTGGACGGACGCCCTCCTGGTGGCCTGGCCCCGGGCTGCCCTGTGTGGGTCTCCTGCCCTTCCACTGGCCTTCCCTTTCTCCACTCCCTTCCCTGCTTGACCCAAACCAGATGTGAGGTGGGGGGAGGGCAGGACTAGGGGCACACAGGTGGCCTCTCTGAACCCAGAATACTAATACTCCCTTCCACCCCCCCAGGTGACCCAGAGATGTCCTCATCCCCCACAGGGCCTGGGATGCCCTCATCCCCCACAGGGGAATGGCCAGGGCACTGGGAAGGGAGAGCGCCAGGCCCAGGGGGTCCACACAGTAGTCAGAGCTCTGCCTTGGGTTCCCCAGATGAGATGAGTAGCTTATAGGGTTTATTTCTTCTCAAAATAACGGCTTGATGATTCCATCTCAGACAGGACTCCACTTGGCTTTGGCCAAGTGCTGCAGCACATGAGCCCGGCCTTCTCCGAGCTCAGCTTAAGATTCCTCCTGGGAATCTTTAGGTACCGTGGCGTCATCTTGGAAAGCATCAGCCTGTGATGGCTAAGATCCCTCTAATTCTAAACACACGATTCTGTAATTCGATGTTCTAATTCTGGATTCCTGCCTGGCCTTTTGTACTAACCTACTGTCCCCTGGAGCACGAATGCTTCCTGTGTGGGGCCTGAGTCTCCTCTTCCACTGGCTGTGGAGCAAATGTGGCGGCGGAGCCCCTCTATCAAAATGTAGTTGTGACCCCAAGTTGGTCCGTTGATTGAAAAAAAAAAAAAAAGGCAAGGAAAGTGAGGAAATCATTTTTTTCAAAAATGAGGCAGACACACAGTCAATGTTTCCTTTGAACGGAAAACATACGGAACATCCCGTTTGTCCAGAGCCAAGCCCTCTTTTGGGAGACATCCACTCTTGATGCAGAAGCCAATCACCGGGGTCAGGTCTTTTCAGAACAGCCCACATCACTGAGCGCGTGCCCTGGCTTTCCACCCTCCATGGAATGCTGAATGGACGCAATCACCGGCTCAGGCTCACCTCAGGCAAACAGGTTTGGGGACCAGCACAGCTGCTGGGGTGAACGTGCCACCTACCTGGGGGTGAACATACCAAAGTGACCTTTGAGCTCGAGAGTCTGTGGGCTCTGTGGACTTTCTATTAGGCCTAAAGAATTTTGGATTTAAAATTCTTTGGTTTTTTTGTTGTTGTTGAGAAGATACACCCAATTCAACCGTTTCCACAGTGACACGGGCTATCTTCTCTGAGTTGTGCCATCGGTCTCGCTCTCCGTTTTTGAGCTGTGCCTTCTCCTTGAACATGAACTTACTGCTCCCCCAAAGCCCCATCTGATCTTTTGAGATGATGTTGTCCCTACTTGATACCAGTTATGGTTTCGGCCAGTAGGTTGTACAGAAGCCTTGGGAACACTGGCCAGATGGTCGTATTAGTTTCTTCTGGCCTCTGTAACAAAATGCCACCGTGGGTGTCTTGCAGCTTTGAAGGCTAGAAGCCTAAGGTTAAGGTGCCAGCCATGTTGATTTCTTCTGAGACTTTCAGGGAGAATTTTGCTTAATCTCCCTCTCTAGCTGCTGGCAGCTCTGTGTCTCTTGGCTTACAGCTGTCGAATTCTTCCTCCATTATGGTCCTCATAGTGACATCCTCTAAGACTCTATTTCCAAGGTCATGTCCACAGGTACCAGTGGGTAGAACACCCACCTTTGTAAGGGACGCATTTCAATCCATAACAGTGGCTGTTGTTGACCCAGAGGGTGTGTCTTCCCTGGCTAGCTCACAGACCTGTTTTAAACCATACCAGTGTGTGTCAAACGCTACAGTGTCCTCCGGCCGAAGGGAAGCTGGCTGCCTGGGGTGACCCACTCGAACAGTGGTTCTTAACCTGTGGGTCGCAACCCCTTTGGGGGTCGAATGATCCTTTCACAGGAGTTGCACGATTCATAACAGTAGCCAAATTATAGTGATGAAGTAGCAACGAAAATAATGTTATGGTTAGGGGCGTCACCACCACACAAGGAGCTGTATGAAGGGGTCACGGCACTAGGAAAGTGGAGAACCACTGCTCTTGAAGGTGGTGACAGCAGCATTTGAGCCCAGGATTCCAGACGCCGCCGAGTCCAGCACTCCTTTTAAGAGACGGGCTCCTTGCCCTCCCCCCTCAGTGGAGCGGCTGAGTGAGCATCAGAAGTGGCCCGTGGTTCCACGGTAGCAGCCCAGCCCGCCTCACCTGTGGGTGCCCGGGTCCAGCAGAATGACCAGCGTGCTGTCTCTTCCCCTCGCCAGCAGGAGAGCATGCCCTTCGCAGTGGTGGGAAGCGACAAGGAGTACCAAGTGAATGGCAAGAGAGTCCTTGGCAGAAAAACTCCCTGGGGAATCATCGAAGGTAATTCCAGGCGACTTCTTGAAGAAGTGGCAGCAGTTCAGTCACTCGACACCCATCCGTAGGTCACAGGAGAAGTCCTGGTGGGACCATTTGTCAGGGCTCAGCTGCCAGCCCCACAGGGCAGCCACCGTCCTCTCCAGCCACTCCGTGGGAGAAAGATGGGGCCGTTTGCTCCCTTAAAGATTGAGATCCTGGGAAAGCCCATGGGGCTCTGAGTTGGAATTGACTCTGAGTGACAGGCTTGGTTTCTTTGGTTTTATAGGTTAAGGCCCGGGCCTAGAATGCCCCTTCCTCGAAACAAATGAAAATGAAACTAAATTCCTTGCCATCAGGTCGATTTCAACATAGGGTGAGCATGTGTGTCGTCCAGTAGAACGGCGCTCTGTGGGATTTCCTGGTCCGGAGTCTTGACAGAAGCAGGTCACTAGTTGTTCCGGTCCTGGTGCTGCTGGGTGGGTCTGAAGGCCAGTGTGCAGCTGAGCACGAACCTTCTGTGCCATCCAGGGACCTTGGCCTAGGATCACTCGCTCCCATTGAATCAATACTGACTCACAGAGACCCCATAGGACAGGGTAGAACTGCCCCTGTGAGTTTCCGAGACTGTAATGCTTTCTGGGAGTAGAAAGCCTTGTCTTTCTCCCTGGGAGCTGGCTGGTGGTTTCAAACTGCCGACCTTGCAGTCAGCAGCCCAACTTGTAACCACTATACCCCCAGTGGTCCTTGGCTCGGGACAGATGATATAAAATGAAGGACAACGGGACCCTGCCCATGAGGAGCTTACAATCTAACTGGGAAGACGAGACTTAGAGGCAGGAAACTGTGAGAAACTGGGTTAGCCCCGGGTGAATCAGTGTAGGCACCAACTGAGTGCATCAAAGGAGTTGTGAGCCTGGAGGGGTGTATAAGGGCCGGGAAACCCAAAGAGCTTTTTCTGTTGAAATGACACGTGAGCTGACACACATTGCTGAAGGGGTGTCAGATGTGGCTGTCTGTGTCTTAGCATGGATGGCTAGGACTTTGAGCAGGTAACGAGTTCTTAAGGGATTGCTTTCAGGGATCTTGCTTCGGTGAGCAGTGGTGGAAGCAGGGTAGGCAGGTCTCAGAATGTGAGTCACCCAAACACGTCCACCCCAGACAGGCTAAATGGCTCGCTTAAGGTTACCTACCTTGCTAGGGGTGACCCTTGGGCTGAAGACTGGGATACTTTGATTCCAAAGTGGCAGCTCCTTTCATTTTATTGTGTTTCATTTTCCCATGGCCCTTCGATGGGGAGGGACATTATTTGGATCATCTCCCTGGAACTGAAAGAGTTTAGGAAGGTATGCTCTCTCAACCTACTTCAATTGTGAGGCCCAGAGAGTTCATGTCTAAGTCATTGTCCGGATCTTACGATCCTTGAAACGTGCTTGGCAAATAGTCGAAACCGACGTTATTGTGCAGCGTGATCTTTCTACAACGGTTTACCTGCTATTTTCTCTGTTACGTTGCTGTCTCCCCATCAGATGATAAGCTCAAGGTCAGGAACTGTATCTTCGGCCTTGGACCAGTTTTTTTTGGACCTGTGTCTTTTAGTTTCCTTAGCTATCAAATGGAGGAAAACAACGTAGCTCCCACTATCTATTATTTCACAGAGTCTAGAATAGCATTGTGCCTACGGTAGAGGCTTAAAAAGTATTTTTTCAGTGAGTAAAATCAAATCGCAGAAGGGGCAACATGAGAAAACTCCGGAAAGCCTTAGGGCCCAGTGGTTCTCAACTTGTGGGTCTCCACCCCTTTGGGGTCGAACGACCCTTTCACAGGGGTCGCCCGATTCAGCACAGTAGCAAAATGACAGTGATGAAGTAGCAATGAACATAATGTTACGGTTGGGGGTCCCCACCACACGAGGAACTGTATGAAAGGGTCGCGGCCTGAGGAGGGCTGAGAACCGCCAGGCTTAGGCAATCACCAGCCCTGTGGCTCACTCCTAAGGGTCCCTGTGGCCTCCCCTGTGGGGTTGCTGCATTGCTGAACACATGCTGTGCTTTGCTTTGTTCACAGTGGAAAACCTCAACCACTGTGAGTTTGCCCTGCTGCGAGACTTTGTCATCAGGTAAGACGGCCATCCTCCGCCCAGAGGGCCAGTTGGGTCAACTTGGGGTCGGAGGGGCATGTGAGTGTGAGTGACCAGACAGTCCTCCTCAGTCTCCAGGTCTCATCCTGCTCCACACCCAGCTCCTACCGGCAGCAGAACGAACTTTAGAAACACCACTGGCTCTCCAGGGTGGGCGTCAGCCACGGGGTCCAGTCCCTCTGTCGGAGTCATGGATTCACCCGAGTCGGGGGTCACTTCCTCTCCCCACTCCTCTCCTCCACCTCAACCCTCTCTCTCCCCTCTTCTGTGCCCTTCAGGACCCACCTCCAGGACCTAAAGGAAGTGACACACAACATCCACTACGAGACCTACAGGGCCAAGCGGCTCAATGACAATGGAGGCCTCCCTCCGGTGAGCGTGGACACAGAGGAAAGCCACCACAGTAACCCATGATGGCCCCCTCTCTCTACCATCACACATAGCCACTTCCCACACACGCACATCCCAGATACCGCCACCGATCACCTTCGCCTTCCCAGCTCTGCCCCACAGGCCTGTCTGGTGTCTGTAGGACATCGTGTCCACATGCTGTGTGCGCGTATGTATCTCTGTACGTATGTGTGCCTGTATGAGGAGCGTGTGCGTGTGCATGTGTGTGCCTGTGTCTATGCGTGTGCAGGGGGAGGTCTTTTTTTCTGCCCTCCCTGGAAAATCCCTTGTAAGTTTGGTCCCTCCATGCCTGTCCATTCTCTGTCTCCTTTCCTCGTGTCCCAGAACAAAGCCACGTGCCAGGTCTGGGGGAGGTTCCATTTTAAAACAGTGGGAGCAGGTGGCCCACAGGCAACTCCTGGTCCTCTCTCAACCTGTCCACAAACTGGGGGGACCTACGGAGAGTCTCCGAGGACAGGCAGAGGAGCTAGGTGGAGTGTAGGGGTCCAGGGCTGGAATCTTCTCTTAGTTGGGGCAGGAGTGGGGGTGGTGTGGAGTAAAGCTAGGACTTTCCTCGGGGGAAGGAAGGTCAAGGGAGAACAGAGAAAGCTGCCGGAGCTGGTGTCCTGAGGGGAGAGCTCCACCCTTCCATCTGTGTCCCTGTCCCTGGCTGCTGTGCTGCTTCCCACCCCTTAACCAGTTGCCTGCCTCTGCTGCCCACCTCCTCTTTCTCCCCTTCCCATCGTTCTTCCTGTATTCCTGCCTCCGTTCCTCTCTCCGACAGCGTCCACTTCCTCTGTGACCAATCCACTTTAGTTTCAATACTCTATTTAGAAGCGGTGTCCAGTTGACTTCCCCAAACTGGTTCTGGAACACCTTAAAAAAAAATCACAACTACAAGCCCACTGAGAGCCCAAGCACAATCAGAGGCGTAGAGAATGAGAACAAAAGTGTCCACAGTTGAGTGCTGACCGTGGCCCTGAATTTGTGGGCCAGGGAGCCAAGGCAATACAGGAAAGCCAGCAAACACCGTGGCCCTCAGTGCCTGCGCAAGGGAGTAGGCACATGGGCTGGTCAAGGGAGACTGCCTTTTTTCCCCCGGGCATTACGCTCTGGAAGAACGCCCTTGCTCTAAAGAAAACAGTAGAAGCAACATAGAGTATTTTTGCTTGTTTTCGGCCGGCTGCCATCAAGGGGCAGTTTTGACAGGACTTCTCTTTCGCTCTCCTGGTATTCTTTCTCTTTGTAAACTGGCTTCTTTCTCAGACACTTTCTTCCGCTCTTCTTGTCCATGCTGCTTCCCTTGTGTGCTGCTGCTAAGTGTATTGACATCTGTCTGTCTGTCTGTCTCTGCTGTACCCCACCTCCCCGTCCCCTCGACTCCCGTGGACATTCCCAACAACACCCACAGTCATACATTGAGCCTCTCTTGCCTCTCCCCTCAACCTGGTATGTAGATCTTTCCCCCTGTTGCTTTGACAGTTAAATTACTCCTGGTCCTTTAGTCTGTAAGGTTGCTGACCTTTTGGGAAACCCTCTTTAGCCTTCGGAAAGGAAGAACACCTAGGAACTGTTTACAATCATCTCAGACAATCTCCTGTCCCGTCTCCTGGTCCAACCCTAGGTGTGTCACTGCCAACCTAGGACCCTCTGCCAACCCCAGCATTTCCAGGCCCCTCTTACTCAGGTGCTAGGGAAACATGGACTTAGGCCCAAGAGTCTGTGGACCAGCAGAAAAGTGGTGGCGTGACCAGCTTATCATTGACCCCGAACCTAAGGTCTCCATTCCCGGAGGAGGCTTCTCTCCTGAGCCCTTCCTCCCTGGTCCACCGTGACTCCCAGCTGGGTAATCGTTGGTGTAGTATAGCAGCCGTGTTCCGGTCCCGAGGAAGAACCCCTGGTTTATGGGGTGAACATTCCTGGAGGGAGACGAGGACTGAACACCTAGCACGAGCGGAGCCAGATCTCGGGGTGAGGGTGGTGGGCATTGGAGAGGCTGCGTAAGAGCAGGATGCTTGGCACCCTTGAACCAGGACTTCTATCTCCCCGAAGGAGCTTTTCTATGTCTGCTGCTGGCTGCCGGTGTCCACCCCCTCAACCGTTCTCCAACCCCCTCCCCCCCGCAGGGAGAAGGCCTCCTCGGCAGTGTCCTTCCACCCGTGCCCGCCACCCCCTGCCCCACTGCTGACTGAAGGCCATTGCAAGCTGCTTCTCCCTCCATTCCTCTCAGCTGTTATTGCTGCAGGGCCGAGCCTGCCTTAGTGCTGTGCTTGTCTAGCCCGCCGCCGCCCCACCCCACCCCAGCAGATGGGGAGGGCCAGCCGCCTCCTTAGGACAGTTGCTTCCTCCAGTTCCCCAAACCACCTCTCCTCCCAGTGGAACGGAGTTCTCGCCAGTACTACCCTGCTCCAGCGTCTGTGTTGGCTGGCCCTGGCCCGCCCCGTCTGGCCACAGGGAGGAAGAACTTCCCCAGAGCTTCTTCTGCCCTTGTAAACCCATGCCAGCTCCCGGTCACCCTCTCCAGGGACGTGACATCGCTCCCTCCCCATTCATCTGCATGAGCTGCTCTTGGCTCCCCTTCAAGGGCCAAGAAAGCAACCTCTTTGGCTTGTCAAATTCGTGGATGTCAGCTGCTG